AGTAAAAAACTGATTGAAATTCAGATATCATATAAAATTTAAAGAGAGGATACGTGTAGTAATTGATGCTGATCGATCTGTATTGGTAATTGACTACTTTTACTAAATATTTAAACATGGAAATCAATTGCTTCATGAACAAAATGAAATTTTAAGAAGATAGACTGACACGTATTACTTATTTTTAAGTTGTTTTATTTGTAATATATATTTACTTTGTTACTTGTTTGTTATGAATAAATATTTATTTTATTTTAATTAGGCACAAATAATTTCGTTTTTTTGATTCAATTAATAAAACATTGAAATCTTTGGTAGATAAACATTTTATTTTTACAAAATATGTAACAAAAATATAGAACATTGCTAAAATATTTCTTTATAATACCTTATTAATTTTGGTCTATACTCTACCTTGAAATAAGTCATGGAACCATGTTACGTTCGAATTAAATCAACAATTTTACGAAAGTAGAATTAAATTTTACAGCAATTTTAAAATATATACCCAGAAAACTAATCGATTTTAAACAGTTATAAAATATTTAGATTACCTAGTTTTTGTGACCTTTATAATGGAGTACCTATATTTTGTTAAAATTTTGGTATCAATTGGTTATGTTGTTTTAAGCTTCTTGACATTTTGAGAAGAGAGCGATATGACTCTCGAAGCATTGAGAAGTCTAAACCGACAACATGGCAATCAGCTTAGAAATTGTCCAACCATAATTTATCGACTTTCCATAGTCAGTTTTCAGTTACACTATAATATAGTATATTATTGGTTATTCAAAAAAAATATGGATTGTGATATACTCTATCTTATATGAATTCCTTTCCCATCAATTATTCCTATAACCTGCTCTGGAAATTCATATTGGGCAAAATATTGTTCGATTACAACTGCCTCATTATCTCGGCCATTCTATAATTTATGGAGACAAGTTACTTAGCAAGTATGTAACTTTTCTGGTTGTTGTAGAGCTTAAGGCAATGCAAAATTTACCAGAATCATGGGTGAAATAATTAGAAATGGCAAATTTTTCTTCAATTCTGTTAGCTACTTCCCATATGCTAACATGGAAATGTTAAAAAAACTTGGCCACTATATTCAGGTACAATAATTTCAAAGTAGTTCTTATTTTTTACTCTATCTGTTTCTTAGAATAAATCTATTTCATCACCACTCTCAAGCTGGACAATGCGTCTAATAAGTCATCTGAATCACTGGACTCAAAATCGGACATCTGTAATATTTTAAAAAGTTTATTTAAAACACCGAGTTTTTTTATATTCTATTTTTTATTACCACAAGTAAAAATTCCATATTATTAATACAAGAATTACTATTTTTTTAAAGGCAACTTCCTGTATAAAATGTGACTATTTTTTACTAACATTAAACTAAAATCTTTAACAAAGTAATTATCAAAAACATAAACCTTACTTATAGGTTAATATTAACAAGATCACGTCATAAATTCCTTGAAAACTAGTTTCTTTCTACGAACACCAAATTCTTCTCACAAAGCTAATATTTTCTATTATCTATTTAGTTTAATTACAGTCCGGAATGACATATTTTCATGATTTATATAATTCAAAGTAGCTTACATTATTTATTTTAAAATTTTTAACACATTACAAAAATTACATGATTGATTTATAATTCAAACTGCCGCTTTTTATCTCCCCTCTCTACATATGGGACATATGGAACACTAGCGCCCTCTTATTTTGTAAGATTTTTGTTTACATGGAGGTCGGGCTCCTTGTATAGTCTCCATGGCTCCTATGTTCAGAAAGTCAAAGATTTGGTGTATTCAAATCGCCGATTGACTGTCGGAGAAATTGCAGAATAGGTTAGCGTCTCAATTGGGTCATTCCATAAAATTTTGACTGAAAAGTTGAACATTCATGGAGTTGCAACAAAATATGTTCCTCGTTTTATGATTCTTGCACCATGACAATGCGCCCGCACAATCAGCTTTATCAGTTCGTGAGTTTTCTGCCACAAATCAGATTGATGTCCTCCTTCACCCTCCTCACTCGCCAGCCCTGGCTTATGATTTTTTCTTATTTCCGAAACTAAAATCAGTGCTGAAAGGACACATTTTTCAAACTATTGATGACGTCAAAGCAAATTCGTCACATACTATAAAGGCCACTTCAAACAGTTATATAGGACAGCTACGCGAAATGGAAACACCTCTAGGAAAAGTGTGTGAATAGGCGAAGGGAGTACTTTAAAGGAGACAGGGACCAATAATAATGTATAAAATTTCGGTTATTTTCTGAACAGACATCTTCAAATGTGAGGAAGTTATAATGAAATTAATTAATACAAATTCTTTGAAAGCTTGGTACTGGGTATACTTGGTTAAACACTTTGGTTTGGTCTGAAGAAGCTTTAGTTAAGTTTCATATCTAATGATGGCTCAGTCTGTATACAGGGTGTTTTGGAAAAAAGTATAGGTAATAATTTCAATAGGGACACAGATCATCATACATGATTGTTTAAATCAAATATGAGATATATCCAAAAGGATAGGGATTAAAGAACCAAAAAAAAAACTAGTATATTACATTGAAATTTATATTGTCTGCAACATTTAGATGTGCAGTGACATTTGCTCATATATTTAACGATATAATTTAAAACATTTATTAAATAAATCTATTTAGGTATAATTGATATAGTTAATCCATAATACCAAACAATTACCTTCCGTAATTAGTAGTTTGTCTGCACATATTCTGTATTACCGAAAAAATTCTTTTAATTATTAAATTATCATTGAACTATTAGATTTTTCTTATTATTAAAAGATAATTTAAAAAATATTTGCTATTATGATACTTTGTTTTGTGTTAAGCCAGTTATTTTTGTTCTCTATATTTTTGACAATTATTGAATTAGTTAATGTATGTATGTTTTACGTTAGTATTAAATTGTACATAGTTTATTTTAAAACCTATATGTTGATAATAATTATCCATACAAATATTTAATTTTATGTTGGAAAATTAAGGATAATTAAATAGAACTATAAATTACACAGGCCGACAAAATTTAAAAAAAAAAAATTCAGAGATCAGACACTACGCTTCCGAAGGCATTTGGCGCGCTGAATCCGAATCTGAATTGATCCATCACCCTAGGTTTCCGAGATATTCTAACCTAAAAGTGCAAAAACACGTACTTTTTCTATATTCAAGGTTATGTAACTTGGCGAAAAATTTTTTTTTCTCAAAACTGAAAACATCATTGTAAACGACTATCTTTCCCCTTCAAAACGCATTTTTTTATTTGGAAAAAGCTCTATTTTTCGCGGAGATATCGTCAATTTAAGATGACCAGTATGTCTATATTATTACATCATGGCTAACCCCATAACACTGAGCGCTGCTAGCCCTAATTGTTAGGAACGTTAACCCCAAGCCCTATAACCCCACAACACTAAGCGCTGCGAGCCCTAATCGTCAGGAAGGTTAACCCCAAGCCCTATATGTCTGGAAGGTTAATCCCAAGCCCTATAACCCCACGACACTAAGCGCTGTGAGCCCTAATAGTCAGGAAGGTTAACTTCAAACTCTATTGCCCAATAACACTAAGCGCTGCGAGCCCTCTAAGGCTTGTAGCGCTTAGTGATATTGTGTTATAGCCATGGTTTAATAAGGAAGCTATACTGATCATCTTTAATCGACGATATCTCCGCGAAAAATAAAGCTTTTTACAAATAAAAAAAATGCGTTTTGAAGGGGAAAGATAGTAGTTTCCAATGATATTTTCAGTTTTGAGAAAAAAAAATTTTTCGCCAAGTTACATAACTTTGAAAATAGCAAAAATACGTGTTTTTTGCATTTTTAGGTTAGAATATCTCGGAAACCTAGGGTGATGGATCAATTCTGAGGCCAGATTCGGATTCAGCGCGCCAAATGCCTTCGGAAACGTAGTGTCTGATCTCTGGAATTTTTTCCTTGTTGGCCTGTGTTATCGATAACTTTATGTCCGGTTTAGAAATTAATATGTTTAAATTACTATAAAAATGTACAGTATAATATTATTATGTTACATATTTTATTGTAAAGCGAAACATTTATTAATACCGATATATATTTACATAGTTTTTTTATTTTAAATTATTATTTACTATTCTTTTCCATGCAAATACAATTTTCATAAAGCTTTATAAATCAGTTTTATTGGGATATTTACTTGCGACAGTGATGTGGTCAATTTGACAGGACAGAGAATAAACAAGTGTACAAAAATGATGTTTTCGATACACGTACATATTTTTAAAAATAGTTACGCTTTTCATTAGCTTTCCTAGTCTCATTATTAGTCTAATAAATAAAAAACAAAACAGATAAATATTTGGCACAACATGTGTCATGAACTGACTTATGATGCCGTCAAGAGGAGCCCTTTGAGTTCCATAATGCATTGAAACACCTGAACTCAAATGGTAAGGTCGGTTTGACGGTTTCCCAAGCAGCACAAAAAAAGGACTATAATCAAAACATTAGCCATCATAGCTAGGCCATATCGGACCACCATACTCAGAACTAAAGCATCTTACTGGAGTTTTACTGGCAAATGGTTATAAAAATCTATTAACTTAGAAACTCAATACACCATTTCTTAAAATCTAAGAAATTCTAGTAATAATGGCCGTAATGGAGAAATTATTTTCTTATTAGATAGTATTATTTGTGACATTTAGATTTTAAATATTGATCTTAGAGATCTTTTGTGTTAAACATAAAATAATTTTAATCGATAAAATCGCCCATTAAAATGCCAAGAATGCCGGATGTGAGTTGTCACTAATTCGCCGAATTAATTATATCAATTTTATTTATTCTTGAAGTAGTACCTCATGTAATAATGCATTTGATTATTGAAGTATTTACTTCTGGGAAACGGTGACACGGGTATTTTTTATAGATAATATCAATACATTAAATTGGTGTAATATATAAAGCCGACTAATTTAATAGTTATTTATTTCGCTACAAACTTTATAATTAGTAGTAGTCATCCAAGAAGAAATAAAAATGTACAAGCTGATTCTTATTTTGGCACTGGTAGCTGTTTTTGCGTTTACTTCAGCTGAAGGTAAGTGAAAATGATTGTTCTTATGGTTAAATTCATGAACTTAGAATATAATGTATTTCCTCTAGCATTTATGTAAGTACATATTTCTTTTTTATTTTCTCAATTCAAAAGACTGGAGTTCAATTAAATTTGTTAGAGGCAAGACAGGGTTGTCCATTGTTATTTTCAAGCAAGTGCAGGTTAATAAACTGAAAATCCATGACATTTACTTGCTAAAGGAATCTTGGCACTAGAAACATCTGCTAGTTAATCGTACAACTAACTATAATATTTGTTAAGATAGAATTCCAAAAATTACTGTAACGATTTACCGGGACAGTGGCGTACCTTGAAATATTCCGCCGTCTTTTTACCTCGGTGTCGAATGCGGATAATTCAAAGAAAGTGACGGAGGGGTCTTCCTGAAATTCTATCTCAATAAATATCATACGAACTGTACAATCCTTTGTAACTATACTGGGATTCCTTTAAAATTATAAGCTGTTCTTTGGAAGCAAAAATTTGTTTGAAAATCATTAGTTTTTGTAGAAATTCTGAATTACATCTACCTACTCTAATAAATAAAATTGATTCTGTATATTTCATACTACCTAATTTACAGCTAATTTGGCAATTTGTTTTTTCTTAACTAATAATTTGCTTATTTATATCTTTTAGTCTTAATCGTAAAATTGTTGGTAAAATGTAAAGTAAGTTTAATTTTTCACAATCTGAAGTAAATATTCACCTGTTCTTTAATCAGCGGATAATGTATTTCCAGTTTGTTATAAAATATTTTAAAAGATAGAGATCAAGTGCTTATCACGATTACATTTTCGACCATTATTAGATATTTCGTGATGATGTGTATCTGTAGAATTACTAAATTTAGACCGCAAATTCTTCAATTAACACATACTTGTTTTTATTCATTGAAAATGTCACCAGAATTATTCACAATTTTGTAAGAGTTTGAGTACATACTGCATTTCATAGTTTACACATAATTATTTATAATGGAATTTTGAAGGATCTTGTTATTTTGACATTAATAATGTAATTATTTATTTATTCATATTTGCATACGTGCATCAAGATGCCTATAATTTTTATAGATAAATAACCATAGGAATTATTGCAATTAATTGCATATTGTTCTTATAAGCATCTCCAGTGACAGATAAAGGCGTTGAGACTTTAAACATTTTATTTTTGACATTTTACAAATTTAGAAGAACGAAATCATAATTTGGATCATTAGTAGGTACCGCATTTGTTTACTGCATTAGTTGAATAAACATGTTTTTCTACTATTTTAGGTCGACTTTTTGAGGTAACAATTATAATCTACATTATTCTTTAGTGAATCAAATTATGTGTCCTTTTTTTCCAACAACATTGCTATGTTGTTGGAAAAAATGTTTATATTTTAAGTAATCACATCTGATTCCTAGTTAGGTATATATTTTTGCTATGTTAGTACATTCTCAAAGTAAAATTATTAGAACGTTACATAAATGTAAATACCGCCCCTATAAAACTATGCCGGTTCAAAACCCACCCAAAATAAAAAATTCAGCTATTAGAGTACTGCAGAGAAATGCTGCGCTTGAAAAATGGCGACCCAAACTATTTTGAAAAGATTTTATGGACTGATGAGGCGACTTTTATAACAGCTGGTATTTATAATAGAAAAAATACTCATTAGTGGGCAAATGAAAATCCTCACTATAATAAGGAAATTCCAAATCAAGGACGCACATCGTTTAATGTTTGGTGCGGTATATTGAGAAATAAAATCATTGGCCCACTATTTTATGAACGTGCTTTGACTGGGGAAAAACGAGGTTTATAAGGAAACTAGTGTAAACTTAGACGAACTAAGAAGAACTAAAACAGAAAGTTGATCAATGTATACAAAATTTAAGTGAATTTAATTTCCATTTCATACTAAATGCAGTTGTGAAAATTAATGAGAATTATACGTGCATCAATAATAATGGCGGTTACATTGAGCATCTGTGACCATTTGTGTTATTATGATTTCTTTGTTAAAATAGTTTGTTATAGGAAATAAATTAATGATGAGAAATAAACTTCTGTCAGTCATTTGTTTGTTTCGCGTGCCTCGTCCATAGCCACTGTGATTCGTCAGATATAAATTTCACTCCTGTTTTTTCAAAAATAGTTTTAAACTGAAATATGTCGAAAAGTCCTGAATCAAACAGTAACATATTATATATTTTTGAAAAGAGAAAAATTTAACGAAGCTAGGTATGCACTAATATATAGGGTAATCCGTTAAAAAAATCTTTAATTTAGTGATTTCCATTATTCAATTGTTTTTTCTAATACTGTGTTATAAAAATTCATAAAAAAGCTAAAACTTTTGTATTAAAAACATTGTTGTAATTTCAATATTAAACTCACAAATAGTTGTCAGATTATAGTGACAAACCCTGTACATAATTCAAACACACCTGTTGAATTATTTTCCGTAAATAGGTAAGAAATTATTTTAAATTAACTTCACTTATGCCTATTACGGTATTTGTGATATTGAGCGTCCCTCGGAACTTATTCGGACACAAGGTTGAATGTTTGCGATAGAAATACAATATGCACAGTGAAAATTAGAAAAAAAGAACAAATAATGTTTATTTTATAAACAGGTATATTACTTTGTTTATATATTTACATTGCTTTAAACATGATAATACATAAGTATTAATAGATATTAATCTAATTGATAATAAAATTTGTATCAAAATTATGATCATTTATAACCTATTTATAAAAAAAAACAATGATTGAATTAATAACAAGATAGCTATCTCAGTTATTCAATTCAGAGATTATTGTATATTACTTTTTTATATTAACAAGTTGGATTCTAATTACAGGATGCGGCATCTTAAAAAAATCTAGATATGTATGTGCTAAAAAATTTTTCCTGTCACATATCTCATGTAGTAGCCCACTAAAGTAAAGATTTTACTGGATATGAAATTATATGAATTAATCTTTCATTAGTTAATAAATACTTGAATCAATTAATTATGGTCTGATTTACAGTACGTCTCATATTCCCTATTTATAAACAGTTTCAGAATATAATTTTAAAATATAAATCGTAATATATAATGCTTGTTACATTTGTTGACTTTTCACTATTTTTTAATTTATTTAAATTTTATTGATACAGGAATTTATGTTCCATTAATTAACGAATGCTTGAAACAATTTCAATCGCAATATCTCTATATTCTGTAATTATTTTATTCCAAATATTGTAAATTGTTCAGAAACAATATTTTTAAACATAAATCTATACACTGACATTTGCTTACTTTTCCCTATGTTTGAATGCTTCAAATATACAGTTCGATACTATACAGGGTGTTATAAAAGAAGCGTAACAAACTTGGAGGGCTAATAATACTCGTCAAAAAAATAAAGAAAACTTTATACGTATGATTTGTTATAGTAATTTATTTTGTAATAATCCACCTGTCCTCGGCTATTAAATAAAAAATAAAGATTACCATGTAAATAAATCAATAATTATTTAGATAATATTTATTAATGTTAATACAGATTAAATGTGAAATAAATGTCTTATATATGTAAAAAATCGCTTTAAAACGTAGACTTAAATGGTAAAGGAGTCACGGGTGTTACAGGATAATTAAATACAGTCGGTTGACGTGTCTCCCTTGCTCTTTAATACATTTCAAATATTACTAGAAGTTTAATGCGTGAAACTAGTAATTTATGTATTTATATATTGTTAATCTGATGTCTGATCCGGTTTTTATTGGCAACCTGTGCATAGTAGGACATAAACAATAATCTGTGGTGATTCTTGTGGCAAGATGTTTCATGCATCCTGTTTCAATGTACCAGGAGGGATTTTTAAAGTTCATAGTGAGGTAATAAAATAAAATTTTAAGCTAATTCAAATATTTTTTTTGTTTTACTCAAATTTGCAGTTCAATTTTATACAAGGTGTTATAAAAGTAGAGTAAAAAACTTTGAGGGCTAATAATTCTCTTCAAAATACGAGAATGTATTTAAAAAGATTTATGTTTGAATCTGTTTGAATTTGTTCATTAATAGAGTAAAAACATGCGAGGGTTAATAATAGATAGATATAAGTTTTTTAATAAAAAGTTGGACAACAAAGTCCGCTGTTCTTATTAGGCCGAAAAATTGATAGCAGAAAGACGTTCTATAAATCTGAAATGCTATATGTTAATATTACCGAATCAGAAATTTTAATTTTTAAGATCTAAAATATTAAGAATGGAGTAGTCCACATACGATGTTATCAAGATTCGAAGTCCTTAACGAAGCAAAACGATTTTTTATGTCATTATTAAATTAATGTAGTGTCATATTTCGAGCCACGAGCGATTTCAAATTTCATTTAACTTTCGAATCTGGTCGAATAGTTGCCAATATTCAAAAGTATCTAGCGGACCATCTGCACAAGACGCAGAGGGGAAATCAAAATTTTCACTCATATTCTGAATCAAAATTATCATTCATGTTTGAAATCCAACCGCTGAAACTGTCTACAAAGCCGCAAACTATTTCAACGATCTCAAGCCGGAGCAGACGACGACATCTGGAGGATATTAATGCTATTGGTGTAGCGACCGCGATAAACCTCGCAGAACGCTTAAAATTTCACCCGATATTAGAATTATTCGACGAAAATACAAGCAATGTCACGAAACTCGGGTTGGGACACTAGATCAAGTTGACTGGATCCATACTGAAGAACACTTCAAGAAATATGGCAGCCACCATGAAGCGGGATCAAACGTCGACTATAGCTATAGTATCTTGCAGTCTAACAAAATTACTACTACGGTAGCTGTCAATTTCCGACTTCTCACACCCACCATCCACCTCTATTTTGTAGTTAGCAGCCTATTTGTGTAAATTATATTACAAGATTAGTCTGTTTTAAAATAATAATAATAATTATTATTATTCCACCAAAGTCAGCCAGTAGTAGATAAACAGTAGTCTTTTTCATCTTTATCTCGTCCAACCACTTTGCAGTTGTATAACCAGAGAAGTCTCTGATCAGTCGATACCTTGAAACCATCTTTACCTATTTAGACGGAAATATGTCCCAAGGGTATACTGAGGGTTCGACACGACAGATCCAAAAAGCCTGAAAAACTAAATACAGTTTTTTTTCTTAATTCGTTGCACGAATTCCAATTTTTACGGTATCACAGTTGCATTGTATAGCACCCCTTTACTTGAGACATATCAATATTCTGGAAAAATTTCCAATAGTAAACTTTTTATTGCCAAAATAAATTATTATATGTATTTTCTTGCGAGCGTACCTAGATCAACAATCTAGCGTTCAATCCGCTGGAGAATATGCCTGTGCTGTGGTGAGAAAAAGTAGTTAGCTTATAAACAAAGAAACAGTGAAAAAAGCAGTCAAAGTATTCATAATTCCTATGAATTAAGACATTTTAGTAAAAAACAGTTCAATTGAAAGCTTTTCTACTAAACCAGTGTCATCTTCAGTGTTATTAGACTGAACAAACAGAGCTTGTACCAAATCTCCAAGCAGAACAATTAGTCGTAATGGAAAAAGACCGACTTGCTGTCGCTGCTGATGACCGATTTTGGTCATCCAACATAACTACGTATTATTCGTAGTCATGGTGTTAGAAAAATTATTGAGACGAATCATCCCAATGAAAATGAAAAATATCACGAATTACTTTTTTAAAAGCATCGGAATATATAAAAAATTAAACAAAATTGCTTGAAACAAACTGGAGGCTTCTTAGTTCACAGGCGACAAAATGAAAACAGTTGCATTTTTTTCCACTTGTATATTAGTGGTGGCAGTAAGGTATATAACTAGTTCTCTTTATACATATACACAAAATTAATACAATTTTTCTAAATGTTTGCCATAAAAAATATGTTTCTTAAATTTTGAATTTCATTGGTGCAATTGGTGCATGTTTCTCATCCTGTAAGTTCAAAAGCAGTATAATTTGATATAAAATATATGGCTCAGTAGCCATTATTTTGATGTCAGACATTTTCTATTAAGCTGTGCTCCATTTTCACTGAAAGGTCATAATGTGTGTTTTCAAAAAGGCCATCATAAATATAAATGCCGACAGAACATGAAAAAAATCAGATGATCCTTTCCTTTGGACTATAGAATTATTGTCTTTGAGTTTTGGGATATATTGTATTAAAATTTAGTTTCTGCACTATAGATTTGTATACTGTATTGAGTTAAAAATATGTGAATCAAACTTTGATTCCTTTATTTTCTAACACCGTTGTTAATAGCGTATCTGATAACTTTTCATTAAATGATGATTTCCCTAAACATACATATTTAAAATATTTATTATTGGTTTTGCACATACTTTTTCCAATTCAAATTCATTCTTTTGCAAAGGAAATAAAAGAACGAAACATTTCCATCCTTTGTCTCAATCTTATCGGTACTTTTAATACACCTTACTCTTATGAAAACAGGCAGTAATTCAATTTTACAAATCGTATCATATCAGGAGCAAATAATTTATTTTTGTGGGAATGAGTCATTTTTACATTATGAGGAGGTATTGTGTCAATTGTATTGTAACGAATGGTGGAAGATGACACGGAAAAAATTGAAATTGTAGTGTAAAACTTGTTGATTTACGTCATCGGTATCCATATAATATTCAAAGACTCGATTGTATGTTAATTTAATTTTTTTATTTAGTTGTTTGTCCCAAAGAAGAACAAAACAGCGATACCACGTACTTTCCCCATGAAACAGACTGTACAAAATTCTATGAATGTACCAATGGAAGAACTGAACTCTTGGAATGCCCTCCGAAAACTTATTGGGACACAACGTTGAATGTTTGCGATACAGATGCAGTCTGTGGCAATTTAGAAACTTCCACTGCTCAGCAAGTACATTTTACCCGGAGTGAAAATTAGACAAAAATTGAGCCATGTTTATACGATAACACTTATTATGATTCCTTGTTGGTATATTTCTTTATGTTAAAATACTTAAATTGATTTAACTATAATAAATAATTGCATATTGATACATGTTATTATTTACGTATATTAGAATTATAATAAAATTTTAACTATTTATGTCGTAAATATATGATCATTAATGAATTAATAACCGATAAACCATATCAGTTATTCAATTTGGAGATTATTGTATCTTATTTTTTTTTATATTAATATTGTAAGTTGAAATCAGATTGCTAGTTCCCACATATTAAATAAATGTAGGTTGTGCCAAAAAAAGCTAGATTTTATTATTCAAAATTTCAGGAATGTATTTAACGATCAACAACGAAATGTAAGAAGCAGCGTCACGTTGTTAACTTATCTCAGTTCCGTAAATTTCTCGAAAAAGGATGTAACATAATTTTTTTAACCACAGTGCAAATTAGCTCAAGCAAGACTTGCTTGTGCTAAGTGACTTTTCAAGATATTGTATTTGTTTGTAAAGTACAGAGTTATTAGTATTCCTCTGTTATGTGGTAAATTATCACTAGTTATCTTTCTTTATGGTATTTTAGTGAACCTAAGTCCTTTTTGAAGTAAAATTTTCAACATTACCTGTTATTTATTAATATGTTTCATTTACACGAAAAACTAGACACTCTCATTCAAATTGCAGCATTTTCGAGAAAAATACAGTTGACTTTGCCAGTCAAGTTTCTATTTATGAAAGTCAAGAGCACAGAAACTCTACTAAGAAAAAGTGAATTGGTCTCTCGGCAATCGGACCATGTATAATTTATAAGTTTTTTGATAAACATTTAGAAAAAAAAAAAAATTTCGCAGCATGCACATCGTTTCTGTCCTCAAAGAAACAAGTTCGAAAAAAAATGTAGCTTACCTTCATTATTTTTGTGAGCTCTACACACTTTTGATGTTTGTTGCTAGATTTTTGTCATGCCTGTATACGGTGTCCTGAATAGGATGACGATTAAAGTAAGAAAATGTTGAATTATAAAAGTCCGTGCAGACATTTATACGAAATGTCGTAAATCCTGCAAATTCCGCATAATTCAGAATCTACAATTACGAATTACAATTGCGCCAGCCAGCATATCGAAAAGATGCAAAGCGCAGAGCAAGCAAAGCTTAATGCGTAATATTAAATCCGATAATTGTATGTAGTTAGCGATGCTTTGCGAATCCGTTTACCGATTCCTTTCATCATTGATTGTCCTTCCGTAGTCCTGTTTACCGTCGGAGCATTCATATTTATTCAGAGCTCGTCTCTGTGTTTGGGCTTTCTCTTATAACTTTCCGTTTCCTACACAAAATCCTTATTATTGTCGTTGCCCCTTGTTAGGAGATTTAAGACCAAACAGCTGATGTCTTCCTCTTATACGTTTTATAAGGCCATTTGGCAAATTGCTTGTGTCTGCACAACTTTTATCAGCCATTATTTGTGTGGAGCACATTAAATTCAAGCGACTTCACTTTACGGATAAAACATGGAAATCTTTATTGACGAAAGGTATTTTTTATGTCACAAATTAATTGTAATTGGAAAGCACTGTAAGTTCATTAAGCAGAGTGTATCTTAAAATAACTAAATATACTGGATAAAAGAAATGTAAAATAAGATACACTTTTCTATCAAGCTATCAAAGTGATAGGTATTGTTAAATAAGCATAACTTAAATAGCAGCTAAATCGTATTATAGGTAGATTTATTGATCTGTGTTTTGTAAATTGGTCACTAACCTCTATTAGAAAAATGGATCGGTGTTACATATTTAAAAAGTTAAGCGAATTTGTTTATGTGCAGGAAAAATCTTACTCTGCGCATTTGACATAAGTACAAATTGTGCAGAAAGCTCAAGTTTATGCAATACAGTTGTTACAAAAAGATAAACCATTACCAACAACGAACATTGTCACTAAACAGCTGCTGAACATATACACGGGAAAAGAGTATACTATTATCAATGATGTACCCTTTAAATAAATGCAACACTGTATTCAGTATTCCTCAAATATATTTATAATTATTGTAAATTGAAAGTTAAGCAAATCATTTCATTGAATCAAATATACATTTTTTTTTTACTTTGTCCATGTGACGATTTAATGAGGCTAATATTTCCCAGAAATACCCGCAGTCTTTTGGATTATTCTACCACCCACTGATTGACACCTTACAAATATCCACGGAACAGATCTCTCGAGGTCCTATTACTACATTTTACTATATAATTTTACCTAACATAATAGTCGTAATGGTAAAGTAATCTTGACTTAAAATTGTATTAGTATTGATTATAAATAACTTGCAATTGGTAGGTTATAATTGCTCTCCTTCAAAATATTTTTTACATGTGGTAAATTTACGCAGTCCCGAATAAAAACCAAAATCAAACTATTGCTGTATCCAGAGTTATAAAATAGATACCTACCGACATACTACTTATCAAAAGTTGTATAAAAGTCAAATATAAAGTTTCCATTGCTTGAATGATGGTGATAATAAATCAGTTATATGACTTAAAGATGTAGCGATCAAATAATGAGGTATGCAATTGCCAATAACAAATTCTTTAGATAACGGTTTACATATTAATGTCTCAAAATCTTACACAATCTTTATTGGTACTAAAAATAATAGGTTGAACTTGGTCGCCTTAACACTTATACACTTACAAAAATTTTATTTTAATTGATAAAATATCGCCTATGTGAAATTTGGCAATATCTCAAGAACTTCATTTCTCGGAAGTATTTTTTTTACTCAAAAATGTATCGAAAAAAACAGAAGAATTGGACAGACAACTTTTTAATATAAAATAATGTGATAAGAAGAAGATAAGATTTTCGAAATAGGTCAACTCGATTATTTGAAAAATAATTATGAATTATATTTCATTCATCATCCCTAAACCTAAACGTATACAGGGTGATTCATTAACAATGGGAAAGTCGATAGCTGACACGTGAAATGGTGACCATTGGCGCAAACATGCCTTATCCGAAAGTTGATAGTTTCCGAAATACAGGGTGTTGAAAGTTCAAATTTGAAACCGTTTTTTTTTTGCGATTATTCTGAAAATATGTAGGTTAGGAACTTGAAAATTTGTAAAACTATGGTTTTTTTAGGCGACGAATAAGATGCGTGTTGTAATTTCAGCATGGCTTATAGAGGACGCCACTTACGACCAATTTTACCGAAAATTTAATTAATAACTTTTTATCCTGTATGTCTAACATGAAACTTGATTCATAACCTGAAAGAGCAATCATTTTTCCATTAATTGTGTATTCTTGTTTCATTTCGGTATCTCGATCCGTTTTCGAGAAAAATCGATTTAACGAACACTATGTTTTGATAATATGAGAAATTAAAAGCGAAACAAACCAAGTGTTCCTTCGTGTTATTACAACAATTAACAATAAAACAAATAAAATACGTAATTATGATTTAAAGTAATTGTTCGAAGAATCCACCGTTGACACTGATACACTTTACACGTTTTCTGAAAGATCTTCGAGTTTGAAACAACATATTGGGATTGCGTCTGACTTCGTTGGCAGCAATTTGTATTCTTTGCCACAACTCTTCACACGAGCCAATAGATTCTTTGTAAAGTACACGAAGAAACACTTGGTTTGTTTCGCTTTTAATTTCTCGTATTATCAAAACATAGTGTTCGTTAAATCGATTTTTCTCGAAAACGGATCGAGATACCGAAATGATACAAGAATACACAATTAATGGAAAAATGATTGCTCTTTCAGGTTATGAATCAAGTTTCATGTTAGACATACAGGATAAAAAGTTATTAACTAAATTTTCGGTAAAATTGGTCGTAAGTGGCGTCCTCTATAAGCCATGCTGAAATTACAGCACGCATCTTATTCGTCGCCTAAAAAAACCATAGTTTTACAAATTTTCAAGTTCCTAACCTACATATTTTCAGAATAATCGCAAAAAAAAACGGTTTCAAATTTTAACTTTCAACACCCTGTATTTCCGAAACTATCAACTTTCGGATAAGGCATGTTTGCGCCAATGGTCACCATTTCACGTATATTATCTTCAGCTTTCGATTTTCCCATTGTTAATGAATCACCCTGTATATTGACGAGCGACTGGTTTTGTTCACAGAAAAGTTTACCTTCAAACAACACGTACAATCATAGTTTCTAGAATCTAGATAAAGGTGTTCATGATTTGTTATTATTTAGATGTTTTGTAGGAAGAATATAATGGAAGAAGGAAATCAGGTCAAGTGGTTATGACCATTATAAGAACATACATGGGCAAGAATCACTCTCTATACGTAGATAACTGGTACAACAGTCCATTACTTGCAACTGTTTTATATAATAAGAAATCTTACAATTGTAGTACTACAAAAAAAAGAAAATATATGACAAAATTGGAATAAAAACATAACAGTAATAAAAAAATCGTCAAACTATTATGAAGTCTCCATGCATATTTGACATTAACCAGAACATGGAATAGACTAAATTGAGATGCTGATGCATAACGTAATTGTGTCTATTCTCAAATCGGTAAAATGGTACAAAAAACTTTTCTTCTACGATTTGAATATTACCATGTGACTAAGGAAAAGATTCTAACTGCTGACTTTCAACTTTCCGTGGTACAACAAATATTTGAAACGTATGGAACTAGAAATGTTCCAGATATTTTGCTTTATCATGGAATTGACCATTATGATTATAACTTCTTGACAGGCATTTTATTAGAAATGTTTCAAAACCAATGGAAACTCGAGGAAACCTGTACGACAATGCTACAAGAGAAATAAAAGAACCGATATCACATATCAATAGGAAATATGTAATGCTGGCTTGTGAAACATTTCTTGCTTTCAATTACATCACACCAAAAACAGATTTATGTTGTAAAATATGTATAACATACTAAAATAGTAAATTTACATCGAATATTTCAATTATAGCCTTTTCAGAAAACTTTTAGCTTATATTGCTGCTGCTGTATATTTACTAATGTTTACGTTCCTGCGTAGGTATGCGGATATCACATTCCAAATGACTGCCTATAGAAAGGGTTAATATTTAATGGACAAACGAGAAATGTAGGACGATATCAGAAAAGAGTAGAGGAAGGATATTATATGTCCTATTCATATACGAATGTGTCAAAAATATAACAAGTGTCCCTGTTGCGCACAATATATGGGGCATTTAAAACAATACATCTAGGAGAACAATTGTTTAACTAACAGCACGGTCAGATAAATAAAGGAAACGTGCCTGGAATCTACATTAAAATCCCAGTATTTACCAACTATGCCTACAGTGCAAATAAGGGAGGGAGAAAGCTTAGGTACGAATCCGTTTATTCAGAATAATCGGAGTACCCTAACAGAAAACAAATAATTTCAATTAGTTTCTTTCTTGTAAAATATTGGAATTCTGATGATTTTGTTCGACAAGGTGTAAGAGGGACATTGCAGCTTTCAGCGCTGATTCCTTCTGCAAAAACAAAAGAAAATTTCTCTACTACTCTTCAAATAATGCACGTGAAACATAGTATTTGAATAAAAACCATTGAAGACGTATTGGTACAGAGCAGTTCTCTCACGATAAATACGTTTTTGTAAAACCTAAAACAGTTCGCGGCGAAACATTCGAGTAACCACTGAAGATGTCGACAGTGGAGAATGCCGAAACGTTTAGAAACATTGAAATGTAACAGATTTTGTGCCATATAAACGTTGAGTACGGAAAAATTTTAATTTCTACAAATACCCGGGCATTTGCAAATGAGCTTGCAGAAATTTGTAATTAAGAGAGAAATTTATACGGTCACTATCGATCCCGCTCAGATGAGAAGCGAACGGTTGATGCATGCAGAATGTATAGAGAAAAAGTTTAGAGTTTAATACAACATATGTCCTCACATTTGCATGCCGCTGAGCCGGAATATCATCACGTGCAAGGTATTGAAAATCACAAAAGTACAAGCAAAGTGGTACGGGAGGGACCGAGTCAGACAACTTTCCGGTTCGTGATATCTGTGAAACATGACAGGAAGTAATAAATACTGCGAAATTCGGGAAGTAATTAGTAAATCATCGCTGTCGGTAATTATCCACAATCAGCTATTGATTCTGATGCCTGAACACTGCCAGCTACATTATTTACCCAGGCTTGTTTCTAAACTTAACATACTGACATAAATAAATAGCAATAAAGTGATAATATGGAACTTTTCTGTAATATGGAATAAACGTTAAGTTGAAAACTAGTAAAGGTATTTAATATTAAATAGCTCAAAGCTGTATTATACAGGGTATCCGGATACGAATGGACCATACTTCAAAGGTAGCTTCTCTGGATCAAAATAAGGCAAATAGGTCAATAATCAAATTAGGTCCTTGTTACAGTAGTATAATTTTGCTGTCTATTTTTAAAAAAATCGGTCTTCAAAAAATATGTTTTGATTTCATTAAATAGTCCTCTATTTGTATTATTTGAAGATGTTTATCAGTGCATAGCACAGTTTTTGTACTTTTCTTTATTTTTTGGGTGTTTTGCCAAACGTAAAAAAATTGAACAATATTCCTTGCGGCAAAAGGATTATTCAAGGATTATTTTTATGAAACTAGTTTTACCTAACCAATAATCGCAAAAAAAAACAGACAAATACAAAATACAAAAAACATATCACTTTAAAAAGTTGTTAATGTTTCGAAAATCCATCTGTTTTCGTTTTCTGAACATATAATAAATTTTTCTAACCCACCCAAAAAATAAATAAAGAAAAAAACTCTCTATTTTTGACATTTTTTTGTTGGGGCATATTTGAAATAGGTTTCACTTTATTACCTTAAAACATGAATGCTGCCAAAATGTACAATTTCAGAAAACATTTGATTAAAATTCACATTTTTAACATTATTTTAATTAAATATATTTAGAGCAACCTACCTCCATTTATTATATTATACTATATTATAATATAATTATATTGTATTGTATTGTATTGTATTGTATTGTATTGTATTGTATTGTATTGTATTGTATTGTATTGTATTGTATTATATTGTATTATATTATATTATATTTTATTTACTGGGCGCTATTTATTAAGATTATTTATGTTCAGTGCCGATTTAGAATTTTGTGTTTGTATTTGTAATAAATATTATTTCTAATCTAAATCCCGAATAATGGTCTATACAGGGTGTAAGAAGTTTGACTTCCATTACTTCAGCATGAGATAGAGTAATCATAAATGAACAAAAAAGTTGTATATTATAGGGGCGTAAGATTAAGTGTTTTCAAAATACAGCGAGTACTAATATTGGGGAGTTTCATCACAACGTGACAACAGCGCTTAACCTAATGTTGCACAGCTGATGCACACCACGTGTGTTTATGGATTGTAATAAGCTCAATTGAAAACCTAGTATTGTATCTATTTTACAGTCATTTATTTCAATCCAACAAAAATTCTAGTAGTCTGTTGCTGAAATGGATAATCCCGCCAATTTAGAACTATTAAAACTACACCAAGAAAACTAATTCTTATCTGAAAACCAAAAAGGAATATAGCATACCTCTGGAATTATCTTTTCCTCATTCTAGTCACTCGCATAGTTGCTATATGTCAAGGGTAAGTTTCAAGTAAAGTTTTCTACCAAGAAAATCATAGAAAAACCAATGTCCCTTGGTTTTAATCGCTCTTGGTCTGATGTCCTGAGGACATCTTAAATTTGACGTCTGATTAAAGAAATGAAGTGACGCCAGACGTCGCATAAATGTAACAAGTAGTAGCAAGCGAAATTTGAGTGGTAATTCCCCGGGTTGTCACATTTTTAACAGTTCAGTTTTTAGATGTGGTGATCAATTATAGCTATTGTGTTTTCAAAAATTCCGTTTCAGCTTAAACGTAGTTTCTAAAACAAGTGCTCCGTGTTCCAACTGACAATTGGATCAAAGAACGATCAACGGACGACTGATCTGGCGGATATGGTATGCCATAAGGCTTCAAACTTCTTGTAAGGGCCTATAACTGACGTAAATCAAAAAATCAGTTTATCAGAAGCAACATTGGATTGCCACTGGACATTCAAAGTGTTAGTTCATCAACATCACTGACTTCTGTGTCATTTTCAATACTTTAAATATTCCCTGAAATAAAATATTTAAGTCCTGAGAAAGAAAAAGTCATGGAACTAGATTACTGCTGTTTGTGTTGTGAAAATTAGTAGAAGAAGGACTAATAAATGATTTCAAAAGAGTTATTATTATTATGTTACCAGTCAAGCAGTTTGACAACGCAAAAGGTACTGTTAAAAAAAATAATAGTATTGGATAAAGCCTAGTATAAAAGTTAAGTACATTATAATTTGGCGTTTTTATGGGATCGGTGAGACAGTATTATAATCAGCATATTGTGCTTCAAGTTATTGGTGAAACAACAACTTGAGGTTTCATATTACCACCCTTTCCCGTAATGACAGAGGGAGGAAAAATTGTAAGTACTTACCCATCCATCTCCGACGGCTTAAAGTCGCCCTTTCCTGAAAAGAACAAGAAAATTCAATATTAAACAGTGTAATGGAATGGCTAATTGACGCGGCTGTGAGTTGGTTCAAATTACATAGAGTTAATTATATAAATATTCTCTTCCTTTACATTGCCAACTCAAATCAACTGAATTGTCTCGCCGTAATTTCACCACAAACATATTTATAAACATCTACAATACTCAAAATTGCTGAAGCCACAAAATGACGCTTAAAATTAAAAAATAATTAAAATTGTTAAAATACAGGGTGTTAATGTACTTATGTCAAAAATTTAAAGGGTTTAAAAAGGAGCAAAAACTGAATTAACTGATGTCACAAACTTGTATTGGCATCATCATCTGTCACATAACCGTCAGAGTATGAAAACATCATCACCATAGCTTCGGTTTTCTCATTTTCATCTATCTTTCACCTTTTTAAAAACTCAGAACCCGAATTCGGAAAAATCTGGAAGTTTTCTCTTTTTATTTATGAACTTGACACTCCTGTACGCATTTTCCAAATATCAATAGTGCAGGGTCCCTTGGTATCACAACTATTACTATAATTTACGATTTATGTGATTTGAAATTGTTGAAAATTGCAAGACGTTTTTGTTAAAACAATAAAAACACGCAACTTTCGAAAAATGAGGTTCTAGATGAGCAAATATATTCTACTTATCTCCAGGAACACCCTCCCTGTTGCACACAACGATCCGTACTCTAGTAAAAATTTGCACGTATTTTCAATTCACTGCTTTTCGATGGGTCAGTGGCAAGTGAAATATGTTAATGTGTCACAGCATACTTCCGATAGTTGTTGTGGTCTATACACATGGCCCAGCTCTCTGTCCCTTTACAAAACTACGCAGTGACCCCTTCTCTAGAATATTCTGTAGTATTAACGCAAACCAACGACTTTGAAATTTCGACTTTTGTCCAGTTTTTTTGGGATTCCGATCACTGTGCGTCGTAGTAATGTTCCAAACAAAATTGCTGGTTACGTGGCTTGTAATTTATAAAGACTCTGTATTAGGTCAAACATTGGTAAATGTATAACACAGTTTATTATAAAGGTTGTAATTTAGAATTTTGATGTATGCATGTGTGTTGCAATATTCGAACGTGCTACAAAGTTTCGCCCTATGTACTTTGCTTACTTTTGTACCCCTATTTTTAATCATAGTGGACCACGCAGCGCTATCGCTTATTTTCATGTTTTAATTATCCCGGCGGAAACGCGGGCAACATACTTCGCACTTGTTTCCCTGATAGCAATACATCTTAACATTGCCACAATTAGAAATTCCTTTTAATTGGAAATGTTTGCCAAAGGGTTTTTTTTCGTATTTATGTTCCCACTGTGCGGGACTGAAACCGTAAAAATTTTAATTTAATTGAAAATTAATCCAACACCCTTAAAAAAACTCCAGAGCTGTCCGCTCCTATTGAAAATTAAATCAGCTCTTTATTTATGCGGACTGTGTAAAAAGAATTTTGTTTCCTATACAAATACTACAATATTCTCTTTATTCTCTTCAAATCCAATTTGCCTCAAACGCATGGACAAAATTACATTTCATTGCTCATTTTTCATCAATTAGTGTTGACGTCCATGTTTGATATTTCCATAATATCATATTCGGGCTAACCATATTGGAAGCGAAAATTGAGTTTTTCATATATGATAATTTGAAAGCAAACTTTTTTTAGATATGGTTTTTTTTAAATGCAGTTACACAGAAATTTTTGTATCTAGGAACAATAGAATATACAGGGTATCCCGGTACTTGATACAAAAAAGTCTAGTACGAATAGATGAGGTCAAAATAATATCAGTTCTTCAAATAAATTTTTTTCATGCGGGCGTTCGTTAACAAGTTACGGGCCCTCAAAGGTGAATATTAATAAGTAATTTTTATTTACAGTCTTTAAACTATTAACTTCAGCATGATGCAAATTTGGTGATCGATTACACATGCGTACAGCTTGGTTTTGATGTTTTATGTGGAACCTCATTATGCCCAAAACGCCAAGGACGAACAATGGTTAACAACCCAGAATTTTTCCCTAGATGGCGATCGCAATCTGCCTGTATCAAAAATAAGTTACGTAAAGAATTTGCCAACGATAATACCCTCTTGGTTCAACTCGATAAAATTAACTATTTAGGAAATAATTGTGATTTTATGTCACAGTGCACATCGAGTGGCGCCTCCACCATTTTTTGTTTTTAATTCTTTATTGGATATAATAATTACTAGGTATGTTAGAACCGTACATATTTTGAAAATAAGAACTTAATAAATCTTACTGTCATCTAATGTAATTTTCACTAACAAAAGTCTACGAATGTTATTTGTACACGAAAAAGCATTTCTGGGGTTTGTCTAATATTATCACAATGGAAATTAATTCTTGCTAGCAATTCATACCTTATCCGTACTGGAGCTACGTATACCAAACTTTTCAGGTATAACGACAGAAAGAAGTCCATCGGGTTAAAGTTTGGAGAACGTGGTAGCTATGAAATTGGACCTCCTCTCCCAATTAATCTATTATTAAACATAATGGATAAATAATTTCGTACATCAATAGTGAAGTGGAAAGGAGCTCCATCGTGCATAAACCAAACGTTTCTTCGGGTGTCTAATGGAACATCGTCTAATAGTGGCTTCAAATTATTTTGCAAAAACTCCAAATATCGATGTCGATTCAGAAATGCTTTTTCGTATACAAGCAAATAACATTCGTGGACTTAGAAAGTGTGTGGAGATGGAATGTGCCCATATTGAAAACGTATTTTGATAGTTTTCCTTTTTTAAATTATTTTTTAACTTTAGCTTATTCTTCTTTTTTTTTTTCTATTTTGTGTTAGGTGTAAAGAGTGTATGTCAAATTCTGTTAGTGAAAATTGCATTAGCAGACAGTGAGATTTTCTAGGCTCTTATTTTAATAATATGTATGTACGGTTCCTAATAATTATGTCCAATTAAAAATTAAAAACAAAAAATGGCGGAGGCGCCGCTCGATGTGTTGTGACAAAATCACAAATATTTCCTAAACAGCTAATTTTGCCGAATTGAACCAAGAGGGTATTATCGTTAGCAAGTTCTTCAGATAACTTATTTTTGATACCGGCAGATAGCGATCGTCATCTATGCAAAAATTCTGGGTTGTTAGCCATTGGGCCTAGTCCGTTCCTGGCATTTTGGGCATAATGAAGTTTCACTTACAACATCAAAAACAAGCTATACGCATGTGTTATCGATCACCAAATTTGCATCATGCTGAAGTTAATAGTTTAGACACTGTAAATAAAAAGAATTTTTTAATTTTACCTTTGAGGACCCGTAACTTGTTAACGAAGGCTCGTATAAAAAAAATTTATATGAAGAACTGGTGTTATTTTGACCTNTTAAAAGCTTGTCGCATAATTTCCGTAACTTACCCCTTATAATATAAATTCCAATTAGAAATAAACCTCGTTACAAGCTTTTAAATCGCATAAGAACATGAACATACTGATTAATTATGATAGATAGTACGTGTCTGTTTATCATATTTTTGCTGATGACACTTCTATAGAGCAGCCATATTCAACCCTTTTGTGGGTCTTTTTTACACTTTACGGGGTCTTTACACATTATGAGTTTTATGAACTCCTTTATTTATTGTTTTCTTTCTGGTATATTTTAATAAAACCTTGTTTTTAAAATATTTTTTTTCTTTTCATTTATTAAATACTATATTATATAGGATATCCGGAAAGGTCATGTCAAAAATAAAGGGGTATACAGGGGAGGTGAAAATAGATGTAGTATTCGCCTTCAAAAAAGAAGTTTGAAAAACAAATTCCAATTATAACTTCTAAGTCGTTGCCATAACAATAATGAAATTTGGGCAATTAAAGTAACTCATGGTAATGTTCATTTCGAAGATTCAACTGATATTCAATATGTCTGAATTATACAGGAGCAGACGAAATTATCCATTGTACATCTTTGACAACGTTGCCAAATATGGCATTTTTCTGTCATAGTTCGATTCCTCTCTCATTTTGCTTAAAAAAGGTATATCAGTCGATGTCTTGTACCGTTTTTGAGAAAATCGAATTTTATTAACTACATACATGTATTGTAAAAATTTTGTAAAAATCTTGGTTTATGCTATAACCCTTCATTTTTGACATGACCCTTCCGGACATCCTGTAATTGTTTATAAAAAAAGTTTCACAAATAATGATTTCAACTAAATTACTTCCGACAAATTTTCCCGACTGCAATTTAGAATGTCAAAAATACATACAAAATATTTTAGTGATGATGATTTCAGTCAAAGACTGTTATTTCTTATATATTTCCCACTTTCTAATGGAGCTACGCACCGTTTGTATTCTACCAGCCTTGGATTATTTTTATTATTTAGTTCAAAGTAGTCAAATAATGAAAGGATATTGTCCAAAATTTTATATCGCGGGCTCCCGGACTATTATGGTGTTTCCAAGCACCACTTACACATTACACATTACTTCAAATTGTTCGAAAAATTAAGCATGTTCAATTCTTACATCTTTAATATTCAGTAACGTTATCAAGCTCTTCAACAAACCAAAAATAACTTTAGAACTACTCTATTTGCAAAAAAATCTCAATGATTCTTTTTTTAAAATTGCATTTTAAATACAACATAATCATGAAAAGACCAAGAAACTAATTGATACAATTTTACGGAATCATAAAATAGAATAAAACATATTTACAAAATTTTACAACGCTGACTTTTTTCCACTTATTATGATTAGTATTTTATTTAAAATTCTGTGGGTACATATGTATGCAAGTGACCCATTTTTAAGTATTACGTCAAGAGTGCCAGCCTGACCCCGCGCCGCTCGGACTGGTCTACCCGTTGCAAGCGACAAGAAACAATGTGCAACGCGGGATATGGTTCCCGGAAGAGGACCACGGCAGATTGACGCCAAGGACCAGATACTTATACCTGCGAGCG